CCGCCCCCCCCCCGCCGCGGCGCCTCCGTTGCCTTTTGAAACGGGGGGAGAGGCGGGAAACCGGCCTCCCCCGCCCCCGAGACCAGCAGGATCCCGCCCTGCACCCCGCCAAACGGGGAGGGACCTCGGCGCTGCGCGGGCCCGCTCCTCAGCTGTCACCCCTCGCCTTCACCCGAACAATAGCACAAAATGAAGGCTGGCTGAGAGGAAGGATGTAGTTTAAGGGTAAAATGGCTGTTTAGAAAGGATGATAGCAGCACTGGGAACTCGATACCTCCATGAAGGCTGTTTTCCTGCACTCCTTAGATTAGAAACCAACTTTCCACGTCTCTCTCTCTCTCTTTCTCTCTCTGTCTTTCCTGCTGTCTCTTCTCAAACGAGCCTGGGTGACCTTGGAACCCCTGGTGAGGGGATGGATCTTGGAGGATGGATGCACATTTCTCACAGAGGCTTTTTCTCTTTAACCATTTAAATAACAAAGGATGCATTTGTGTTTGTGGAGGTTTTATAACTTGGATGTGTTTTTAATTGGCCAAATTGGACGGGTGGATTAAGGCCCTTTAATTGTCACTGAAGTTGCTTGACTCCTGGTTGCTACAACTGATATAGATCTGTATAACACAGAAGTACTTCTGTCCTCTTAACTTTTGTAGAAGAACCTACAGTAGCTGAACAACGACTTCTGCAGAATTTTACTAAATCTGGGTGCCAATGTATTATACTAGCAGAATGGTACTTCTAGTAATGGTACAAAAACCAAAAAAACAAATAACCCAAAACATGAGTGAAACTTTTAGTACTTATTGCTTGGTTCTTCCTGCCCTAAATTTCAGTACTCTTAGCAGCTGCTCAAGGTCATACCATAGATCAGAACTAGGAACAGATATATTAAAAAACCCCAAAAAAACCACAACAACAAAAAACCAAACCCAAAGCATTCTGTCCTGTGCTCTTGTCAATGGACCATCCTTGTCTCCTTTACTTAATAAGATTGGTTTTTAAATGTTTATGAGGGATTTATTAAAGCATATATGTTTATTAAAGCATCTTAAAGCACATAAATGCCCATTAAAAACTTGATCCACTGTATGAAATGTACACAGGCTTCTATTACAACAGAGAGAATGCCATATTTATTTTGCATAAAGATGCATATTTGAAACATGATGGTAACTATAAAGTACTCTTTCACCTGTGCATCTTAAGTCTCTCACTTAGACTTTTGGGGGGACAGATGGAGGGAGGGAAAGTTTTTTAGTATAAATGGGCTTGTGAATTAATATTGAAGTACAAATAGTAACCAAATTAGAAATGCTGTTTTAAAATCTATTTCCTTGTTACATGATTTCTCATTTTGGTCAAGTAGAGAACTTTCTTGGTCAAGATTCACCTAGAAATCTAGAACTTGATCTCAGAAGAAGATTGGACTGTAAATACATACATTTTTTTCACCTCTTCAGACACTGTTCCTGTGTACTTGTTCTTGATCAGACTGTAGCAGAGTGAAAACTTCCAGAATCTTATCAGACTTCTTTTCAGTGCTTCAGAATATTGTGGGTAGCAATGAAACTGACAAGAACCAGGGCAAGTTCACGCTGTTCCAAAAGCAACTGTTGGAGTTAATTGAAATGTCTTCATAAAGCTGAGGAAGGATGAAGAACTAGAAATGTTCCCTTTTCTAGCATTTAAATACTGAGAGGAGTCTAATGCAGCAGATCTCTTTTACAGGTATATGTACGGTTCTTTTATTGAAAGGATTGGGTTTTCAAAGTTTAGACACCTATTACTTAATGTGAAAGGAAGCTCTAGCACCTGATCCAGGTATAATACCCTATTAGGAATGCCAGTATGTTCCCTTTTCCAGAAGTGCAGTGTGTTGTGAGGTGCACCCTTGCTTGGCTTCTCATCTGGTTCCCATCATAGGAAAGGAAGGCCCCCCCCCATTTTCCATGCTGGATTATGGTGGTGGCCATGCCTATATTTGGTAGAATTTTCAAGCCTTATTAATAGGCGATAGAAGGTAGTTCAAGTGATTATTTCCCTGCCTTTGGGCTTTTCGGTGTGGGTATACTGTTACTTTTTATTCGGGTTATAATCACAAGTATAACAACAGTGAAAAATTAATGAAGAAACATTGGTTGATTTAAAAACTGTTGGAATATGGCTAAGGGAAGCAATTTAGATAATATGGGTCAGTGCCCCCCCTCCTTTTTTTTCCTGTCTACCCCTTGAGGGAACATCCCCATCATTTTTTACAATGCTTTTAACTTGAGGGAAAAGAGGAAATCTAGTTAATTTTTAAAAGAGAGACTAGCTGTAGTGGTTGGCTGAGTGGTGGTGGTGGGGTAACTCCAGAACATCATGTTTTCTTTTTTAATGTAGGCTTAGCCACTATGGCACATGCTGATTTTTTTTCATCTCTAGATTAAAAAAAAATAATTTTTTTTTTGCAGTGGGTTCTAAATGACACCCCAGATTCATTCAGAAGCTGAAGCTACTTTAGCATGTTAGCTGCTTGGCAATTAATGTATGCCATCAGTAATTTGTCATTTACCTGATGGCATTTGGTTTTAACATAGGAAGTCCTTAATGACTTGTGTCTTGTTTGAAAAGTTTATCTCTACCTAAGGTGGTGCTACAGCTGTGGTTGGATGATATATTTGACTTGAAATCCCCTCCATGGGAGATTGACAGATATTGCCCTGCAGGCACCAAAGCCTCTTTGAAAAGAAATGTACTCTTACTGATCTGAAAGAGTAGCCCGGCTATTTTGACTCTTGGCTGTCCCCTTTTTATTTTAGTCTCCGACCCTGCAAACACTTATTTAAGCAATTTTTAAGGTTCCATTTTGTGCAACTGACAAAAATAAAAATGATTGCATCACACCATTGGAAAGTCAAGAGTTCCACCTTTACACTGCTATAAAGAATTAACTTATCTTAGTGCCTAAAAGATCAGAGCTTAACATTTTCATTGGCTCCTTGTTCTAGTAGTTCTTCCTAGGTTCCCTCATGGAACTAAGTATAGAGGCCCTTTGACTACTGAAACTTCCATTCACATCTTTAAAGATGACTTATAGAAGATAGTCTTGTCTTCTGTTTTTCATATATTACAGGTGGTCCAGAAATTGATTTTTTTTTTAAAAACGCTGTTTTTGAAGTACAAATCTCAAGAGCATAAAGCCATATCTTATCTTGAGCATCCAAGTACCAGTGGAAGAAATCCGGTGCTTTTACCAGTCCTTAATGCCTAAATTAAAGGGTTATGGATGTTGAATCTTAAAAAAAAAAAAAAAAAAATCATTAAATTAACTAGGGGTTAACAAAACCAAAAGTAACGGTTTTAAATCAGCTAACTAAATATTCTTCCCTATTTTTCCTACTTCTTTGCTTAACAGCTTAACTTCCTTTTCTTGTTTCTGATGGCACAAGCATCAGATGTTCTTAGTTTAGACAGGGTGTGAATTTTTAGTAATAATAAAGTAAATATACTTTAGAAGATATCAGCCTGCTCAAAGACACAGAAGAGGACTCGGATATGCTTTTTGCTGTTTTAAAGGTAGCTGCTAAGAGACTGTCAAGTTGAATTACCATAGTTAATCAAATACAAGATAAAGTTTTGTTGGTTTTTTTTCCTCAGCGTGGCTAAAAAAGCTCCTTGTCTTGCATTTGCATACAAGGCCCTTCATTAAATATATTGTTTATTCTTAAACTCCTGCCAAAAGCAGCACATGCCCAGTAATGGAAACCAACTATGAAGCTGATTTAAATGCAGCCAATACTGAGCATGACTATAAAACACATGGCCTGTATTGGGCAAACATGCCGATTTTCTATTTTTTTAAAATTTTGTGTCTCAGGCCAAATTAGCTAGATCGATTCTGAATTCTGTCAGTTCAGCGGAGCTTAGTCATTCAAGTCATTTTAGATAGGCATCTAGCTGGGGTCATCTAGACCCAGCTCTCTTTCCTGCCTATGCAGGGGGTCGGACTCGATCTATTGAGGTCCCTTCCGACCCTAGCATCTATGAATCTATGAAAGTCTGTGTGACACTAACACCAGCAAGTATCCTTCCTCCCAGACTTTTCAGCCTGGGGCTTCAGATACTCCCAAATTCATGGCTGGCATCCTAGGTATAAGCTCCAAGCCTGGATGCCATGGAGTTCAGATGCGCTCTGGGCTTGCTTGCCCCTAGCCAAAAGGAAATAGGAGCAAGCTAGAGGGAGAGCCCAAGAACAGTCTCCAATTACCATAAAATGTATAGTTGAGATCCTCCCATTGGGAGGTTATAGTAGACTCTCATAAGGGTGCCTGCCTGCAGTACAATGAACAGGTTCCCACCCTCAGCTACACCAAGTCGTTCAAACCTGGGAAGAAGGAGATCTCTCCTGCCAGGTACAGTAAAATCACCTGGGGCAACACCATCATAATGGTGTTTCCTCTGCCAGGTAAGTATGGGAACCTATCTGTTTGAATAAGATGTATGGTAATGCACATTGCATGCAGTTTGCTGTAGTGCCAACTTTTTTTAAAGTCATAGTGAGCCACTACATTAAATACATTTAGACTTTCTCTTCACTCTCACAGCTGAACTGTGCCTTTCTTTTTCATTTCCAATAATTCCTGTTTCTTCACCAGTCTTAAATGTCTGACAGACATCCCCAAAACAGGATCCCAAACAGTTCACCAAGAGTCCCTGTTTTGCCTCCCCTTGCCCCCACCATGTCATGTATGATTAATAGGGTGCTGTCCTCCATGAGGTGGAGCCAGACCAGGTTGCTCTGTGCTTCATATGCATATACATTTTTGGAAGATCGCAGGGCCTGTGACATGAACACCTGGTTCTAGTCACAAGCTGTGGGGGAGGCTAATTAGCTCATGGACCGTTTTTGAAGGGTATCTGGAGTACATGCATATACTGAGCTGTGCTGAACTGTGGGATCACCCTGGCTTGAAATACTGTTGACTGCTGGGGCCCAGCCCAGTGAACTATATGGTAAATCATGAGCCTTTTGACTTTGGACTAATATAATGCATGGTTGTTTGTACTATATAGAAGTAGATACAAAAGTTCTGCTTAAAAGTGTGTTTATGGAGTACCTGTGCTAAAACTTGCAGCCATTTCAGAAATGGTAAAATGCATGAATTCTGAATGAACTAAGTCTGTGGGTACTCATAGTATTTTACTACAGGCATACTTATTTCAAGGTCAGTGTTTTCAAACTTGCCCTTCATTTTCATGTGCTCAGGGAGACGAGGTCTGACAGTAAGGAGGGGGTAAGGGCTTGTGGGGGGAAGAGGTTGGTGGGAGCCAAGGGGGCTACCTAACACCCCCCCCCCACCATTTTTTCCCTGCTGTAGCAGTGGAAGGGGGACAAATTCAAGGTCAACTTCCAATAATTAGATTCTAGACCTGGAAAATTATTAAAAATTATACATTTTCCACATATAGCATCTAGAGTGGGGCGTCATATTACATCCAGGGTTATCTTATATTTGAGTAAATACGGTACATATTAGACCCTTTCAGTTAAATTGGGATTGCTTTTAAATCACATTTTAAAAAATTCAGGGTGATGTTTTTCAATTAAAATTTGTGTTCTCTTTTCTTCTCAACTAGGCAAACATATCATTAGAGGGGGCAGAGCCATGTGGGGCAAAAAAGATGAAGAGGTAGTAGATGATGAGGTAATGGAAGGAAGTCAGAGCAAAGGAAGGGATCCCCATGTCATATTGTGTTCCATATTATTAGGGGATGGACATGCCTCACATGCCAGTGGTAAAAGTTAATGTGGAGGAGGGAAGATTAAGTTGCTCAAAGCAATTAAGGGGGAAACATCACTCCACTGTGTTTCAGAAATATCCAGGCTATTGAAGAATCTGGAAGCAACATTTGTGACTCTTCCCTTCTTCTAGGAGTGGGGGCAGCCTTGAAATTAGGTGGGAAAACAGTGCTAGTTACAGTGTGGCCAAGACTCCTGGTTCTTCCTGTTTCTACCTGACAGAAAGCTGTTGACAGCCCTGCTGTGCTGAATGCTTTTCTTCTACAAAGGACTCCAAGTAGGACAATGTAAAGGGATTGCTGGTGGCTCTGTTAGCAGCAGGGAACTGAATGCTCAGGGCGTTGTGCCCTGAAGTGGTTCCCCTGGCTTTCTGCAGTGTGTGCAAACAGACATGCACCTATTTTTAAGGATGGTTTTTTTTCCTCTTCCCCCTCTTCCTAGGGCTCCTGCTTTCATTAATATTTCTTCAACCTCTCCCCACTCTACTTCTGGTCACTCCTTAAGAGTGCACATCTTTCTCTTTCCCCACACTTCAGTTTGACTTAAGATTGCTGCAGTCTCTTCTAAACAAACTGAGCAAAACTCCATGCCTGTCAAAATGATTTACTCATCAGGACTTTCATTTTCATGAAAACAGTGAGTACAGTGACAAGAACCACATCCAGAGGTAAATGTCTCTTTCTGTAGCTTGTTGCAATTCTGGTGCATAAAGGCAGAGACTGTCACCTGCTTCCTATTAGCTCTCCCTCCCTTCCTGTTCCTGGTTGGCAGGGCCAGCCCGGTGCTGCCTTCAGGCTCTCCCCCACCCCTGACTGGCGCAGACTGCTTGGAACTGAACAGCTCTGGGCCCCAGGTCTTAAAGGGACAGTATCCAAAGCATTTTTTCTGGCTCTGAGTAGCAGTTAATGGAGAGAGACCACTCTGCATACAATGTTAAATCGAGCTCAGATATGGATGAGAGCTTGCTTTAAAATTGAATTTTTTGAGATCAGTAGTAGTTTTAGACATCATTGCTTGTAGGTCTTTTGCATGACTAGAGCCTCCATGGTAGGAACTGTCACCATAGGGATTGCTAGCAAGACCTACCATGCCAGTTTTCTAGCCAGTTCTTCAGCCTCTGAGAAAAGAGCAAAACAGTAAAAGTGACTTTATTGGAAGAGCAGGATACTAGCTTGGGGTAGACACTGGTATCAAATACCTACTGTACAGGAAAATAGTATCTGCTGTTCTGATACCACCAAGAGATTTGTGAAAGCTTTATCCTCTTTTTGCCCCTCACTACTTGTGATTCATGTGATAGTCCCTAACAGCTAGCTGTAGAAGCAGTATATGTGACTAGTGGGCATTTCTTGTCCCTGGACATCCCCATTATCTCTATGGAGTGACCAGTGAACCTAGTAAGTGTTGAATCAAAACTACAGGGTGAGGAGAGGATTATTGGGAACTGTACCCAGGTAAGGAGGAGGTGATTTTTTTCTGGAAGGAAGATGTGAGTTCCATGCTGAAAAGGGCAGAAGCCATTGGAAGTGCTGAGGGGAAGTGGTACTGAGGATTGGAGTAGGGTAGGAAGGGGGTCCAGCTTGAATAAGGATTGGAGGGGTGGCTTTCGTGTAAGGGTACACCACTGCTAAGTATACTCTTCTCAGTTATAGTTTTGTCATCCAATATTTCATTGTGCACAGTAGTATATAATTTTCTACAAATTTTAGGTAGCTTTCTAACACAATTAGTTCTTTTTCTTTTCTGTTTGCTGTCTCCTTTTTTTAAATAGATATTGCTAAAATCTGTTGTATACTTATTTTTTTTAATTTAAATAATACAAGATTACTGTGTAAATTTTGGTATTTCTTGATCCAGATATTTAGTAAATGTTTTTTTTAGACCTTTTTTATACTGATGACTACCTCTTCAGTGTAGAATAGATTCTTTATCTACTTCTTGGTGATTTATCTGTTCTTGATAGCAATCTCTATATTTCCAATGTATTTCAGCAACCAATTCAATAGAAATGAAATCCTTGCAAAACTAGAGAGCTAGCTTGGTAGTTGAGAATGGAGGGTATTTTGCCTGTTTCAAAAGAGGGTGATGTGTTTTGGTATTTGACAGAGACTTTGACAGAGACTTTCAGAGACCAGTACACAGTTAAAGATGAGTGATGGAATGGAATTCTCAGACTCGTCTTTTCTCTCGGGTTCCTAAAATATTAACACTGTAAAATGAGCTTGTATTTGATGATACACATAGGACACGTGCCAAGTAGTTGACTAGTATTTATGAGAGGGTGAAATTAATTGAGTTTTACACAAACACTAGCCAGTTGCCTGTCAAGAATGATGCCGGGGGGGAGGGACGGGACACCACGACGACGACAGAGGCCTGTGTCCTTCTTCACCCCGCCCCACCGCTTTGTGCCAGGGCTGGAGCCTGGACCGTTCACCGCATCCCCCCGCTTATGGATGGGGGGGGGGCCCCCCCCCCCCCCCCCCCCCCCTCCCCTGCTGCCTTGGGCTGGGGCCTTGCCCCTCTCCCCTCCGGTCTCTGATTGCTGAGACAGCCCATCAGAGCATGAATAAAGCATTGGGGACAGACAGGCAGACAGACCGACAGACTTAGGCTTTTATAATATTAGAATAAACGAATTTAGTGTGTGTATAACACAATTCTTCCCTTAAGTGAAACTGAGTCAGTTTAAGCCCAAGAGAGGTGTCATGTTGAGAAGGAAGCTTACCAAACAAAATAAAACTACTACAAAATATTTAAACAAAAATATTTGCCTGTAGTGAATGTATCCATACAGTCCCAACATTACTGCTTACATGAGAATTAGGAAGTGAAACTTAGGACAAAGAAGCCACTTTTCATTATGCAAGGTAAATGAGCTGGAACACATCAACAGCATAAATAGTGAAAAGTAAACTGATTTCCTTCATCTGTTGTAGAGATAATAAGACAAGTAAAGAAGAATGTTCAAGTAAATGGTTTTAAAGGTGATATGGCATTCAAATGGATGCACAAATACCTGTGCTATTATAGGATGTTTTCTGAATTTTTAATATTTCATTTTGAAAAGCTTGTTTTGGTGAGGAAAAAGGTCACGTGTTTTTTCCTTTCCTGGATAGGGTTAGAACAATATGCATCTATTCCTTATTTCTTCTCTAAATTCCTTAATCTGTAACAGTCTAAAGATTTATCCTGAGAGGCACCATTTTTCATTTTCACGTTTTCTGATTATGTTAACAGTTGTTGATAAAAACATCTGTGGTTAAAGACAGACATTTCAAATGTATGCCACTGATGCAATTAAGGGAGCATCAATGTGTATGGTTTTTTTTTTGAATTTGTAAAAATCCCAGTGCGTTTGATTTCCAGTGAAAAAGTCCTCCGGCTAGGGAATGCATTCCAGTCTTTTCATTTATTTATTTATTTTTCCTAGTCAGTATAAGTCGTATAGTTTTTAAATACGTTGTACTTGATATTGTGTATAATATAAGAACTAGCCCTCTTACAAAAATAGTGTATTTTTGTAGTTTTTAAACATACGGGTTATGTTAAAGGTAAGTGTAACATGCCAACTTACAATACAACAGTTACTGAGCTTAGGGATCATGGCGCTTACAAGAAGGGTTGGAAGCCTTATGGAAAATTAGTTGTAGCAACTGCACCTGGGTTGCAAGCCTGTAAGATGGGTTGCCCATGGAAAAAGATTGAGAATCATTGTTCTAGTACAGTACAGAATTGAATTTAATGTTTGATATTCTAGTGTATTATCTGTGATTTTTCTTTTAATCCTTTTCTCCTTCTTGTTTTTGTTCAGACAGGGGATTTGGCTTCTGTGCAATTAGCGGGCACTCCAAATAGATGGGAGGTTTTGTCTGCAGCTCCTACCACTATAAAGGATGAAGCTGGTAATATAGTGCAGATTCCAGGCGCTGCCACAGTAACTTCAAGTGGACAGTATGTCCTTCCCATTCAGAGTTTGCAGAATCAGCAGATATTTTCTGTTGCACCAGGCTCAGATTCATCAAATGGTACAGTGTCTAACGTACAATATCAAGTAATACCCCAGATCCAGACGGCAGATGGTCAGCAGGTTCAGCTTGGTTTTGCAACCTCATCTGATAATAGTGGTATAAATCAAGAAACTGGTCAAATTCAGATCATTCCTGGCTCTAATCAAACCATAATTGCTTCTGGAACCCCTTCAGCTAATATTCAGAATCTCTTATCACAGACTGGTCAAGTTCAGGTCCAGGGAGTTGCAATTGGCGGTTCATCTTTTCCTGGCCAAGCACAAGTAGTTGCTAATGTCCCTCTTGGCCTGCCAGGAAATATTACTTTTGTACCCATCAATAGTGTTGATCTAGATTCTCTGGGGCTCGGCAGTGGTTCTCAAACCATGACTGCAGGCATTAATGCAGATGGACATTTGATAAATACTGGACAGGCAATGGATAGTTCAGATACTTCTGAAAGGACTGGTGAACAAGTTTCTCCGGAAATTACGGAAACCACCACTGATAATGACTTATTTGTGCCAACATCATCTTCATCACAATTGCCCGTTACCATAGACAGTACAAGCATATTGGAACAAAATGCAAACAACTTGACCACAACTAGTGGACAAGTTCACAGTTCTGATCTTCAGGGAAATTACATCCAGACATCGGTCTCAGATGAGACACAAGCTCAGAATATTCAGGTCTCCGCAGCACAGCCTATTGTACAACACATACAGCTTCAAGAGTCTCAGCAACCAACCAGTCAAGCCCAAATTGTACAAGGTATCGCGCAGCAGACAATCCATGGTGTGCAAACAAGTCAAGGTATTTCGCAGCAGGCTCTACAGAATCTTCAGCTGCAGCTGAATCCTGGAACTTTTTTAATTCAGGCACAAACAGTGACCCCTTCTGGGCAGATAACTTGGCAGACATTTCAAGTGCAAGGAGTCCAGAACTTGCAGAACTTGCAGATTCAAAATGCACCTGGTCAACAAATAACTCTAACACCTGTGCAGACTCTCACTCTTGGTCAAGTTGCAGCAGGTGGGGCCTTGACTTCAACTCCAGTTAGTCTAAGCACTGCTCAGTTGCCAAATCTGCAGACAGTTACAGTAAACTCTATAGATTCTGCTGGCATTCAGCTGCATCCAGGAGAAAATGCTGACAGTCCTGCAGGTATTTATCTTTATCACTTTGTGGGATTTTTTTTTTTTTTTTTTTTTTACATTATGTATTTGATTTGAACATTGATAATCATAATTCTTATTTTCCTGAGGAAGTGTACAAAATATTAGTGGTTAAAACAAAGTATGATATTAGAACTTGGGACTGCTGATTTATGGAAGATTGTTGTAATGACAGTATGGTCAAATTAACTCTAAAATATAAGCTACTCTGATTTCCAACTATTCACATGAAAGTAGGGAGCATTAGCACCTTCTAATGTGGCATCTACGTGTCATCTACGTATGCTTCAGAGCCTTCTGAAGCAGAGCTCCAATTTTAAATTGAGGGGGGAAAACTTGACCATCAGATTTTATAGGGCAGCAGCATCATTGGCTTCTTTCCTTCCTAAAAGGGCCATTTTCTGTAGCCAATCTATATGTTCTATGGGGAAAAACCACATAATTTTGTGTATACCACCTTTTCTTTCCTGAAAGCATGCATGGACACCTGAAGTGCCATTATTGATCTGCCATTTATAAAACTTGTTTCCCGCTGATTTAAAATCAACATTTAAGTCATATAGAATTATATGAGTAGTGGCAAAACAAATATCCAGCATCTATCTGATGGCAATTCTTTAGAACATGTGTGACTGTCTGTATAATTTATTTACATGGTATTTGTCATTAATGCTTTTTATAATATGTTCTGACATTTTCTGTACCTATCTCTGTAGTCCAGGTAAGAAATCAAGTTTTTTTAAAAGTAGTCTTTCTGGTAATGAAGAGAGAGAAATCTAAACATACTTCTTTACTTTTAGCTTATGTGAACTAAGACTTTGAATCTGCAATGAACTTAAGCACACGTGCTTAGGTACTTTTATTGCATGAGTGCAGGCTCATTAAAATCAGTGGGACTTAGTGCGCTTAAAGTTAAATGGCAGAAGGGTGATAAAGTGCAAGGGCTGCCTGCCATCTAGCTCTGCACTTTAGCATCCTTGTGCCTCAGCCAGCCCTTCAGCTGCCTGATGATGCCACCCAGAGCCTGGGGCTGATCCTCTGGTCCTTCTGCCAGCCTGGGGCTTCTCTGCCCTGGTTCAAACTTCTGTGGTCCCAGGCGCACATGCAGAGGCTGTGCCCAGGAGCAGCTGACTTCGGTCTGAGCTGTGCTGGAGTTTATCGGATTGCTTTAATAGCACATGTAGATGCACCACCCATTATCCTCTAGGTACTTTGAAGTAGATTCCTTGATGGCATACTCCATGATCTTCTTGGTATCAAGGTCAGAATGACTGGTCTGTAATATCTCAGATCCTCCTTCTTCCCTTAAAGATGGGTACTTTTTTTCCTTTTTCTGCTTGTCTGGGACCTCCCTGACAGTCATGAATTCTCAAAGATAATATAGCCAGTAGCTCTGAAATTAACTCAGCCAGAGATGTGAATACTCTAGGATGAATCTCATCTATCTCTGCAGACTTGAAAACATCTGGTTTCTCCAAGTAACCTCTAACCTATTCTTTCCCTGCACCTAGGATGATTATCTCCTTCATTATCCTTTTTGCCGCCTTTGTTCCTTATCTGATAGTCTTTATTTTACTGATCCTTCATTTAATTTGTTTAGGAAAACCAAAAAAAATCTGTCCCTTCCTCACATTTCATACAATTCTTCCCCATCAATTCACAAATAATAATGATTATGATAAAAATTAAATCCTTACTATTTGTTGCTTGTGTCTCTACAGTAACTTTCAAAAAGTACAATTATGACATATATTTTTCTGTTTGGTATTTAAAATTTTTCGGATATGCATGCTATTCTATTTAGTATTAAAATAGAAAATAAAATTAAAATTGTGTATATAAAAAATAAAATCTGTTAACTTCTGTTTTCTATGGCCATGTTTCAATGTTCTTTCTTGCTTTTTACTCATAATTCTCTATTGCAGCATGACACCTTTTATTTTATCCTGGAGATTACACAAGAAATGAAATGGTTCATAAGGGGAATGAGAATTAGGATTGGAGGGAGAGGGAATGCTTTTCTGGCCTGAAAGAGAGAGGTCTGAAGTAGTAGTTTTGTTACTTAAATTAGCTTACAGAACAAGTGAGGAAAAACCTACAGCAAATTTTCAGTAAAGGACAAAAAGATATGTATGTAGTTTACTTACATTCTGGATTCTGTTTCTGTTAACCTTAATTAGAAATTAAGTGTGAGGAAAAACTACTCCTTGTACTAAAATTTAACAATGTAATATTGTATGCCCTGTGAAATAAGGAGAGAGATGTATTTGAAGGCTACCTTTCTGCTTCACAGTTCAGTTGCCCTTAAAACATTCATTTTTGCTTAACTTCTTTTTATAATGTACTGTTGGAGGGAGTTTTATACATAAAATAACTTTGTGTTTACAAAAAAGCACAGGGTACTTAGACATAGTGCAAACTTGGAATTTATGTGTTAAGCTATTTTTTTAAGGCTTAGAGAATTTTAGAAGAAATCCAGTACCACGGAGTCAGAAAATGTTTATTGACTTCTGTAAGACTTCTCTTTAACTGGCTAGTGAATTACACAAAATCAAGTCTTTCCTATCAGTTACTGTGTCCTGAACACCATTTTAGGAATGTTTATTCCCTGAAGCGAATACAATTTGACCAGTTCTGATTTTGAGGTGTTTTGCTCCTTATTAGCTCTTCCTTTATTATATAATGGCACTCTGGTGTCTCAAGAAGCCAGAAACCTCTGAAGAAGCCAGTTGGAAAGAAACAGTATTATCTTAAGAAAAGTTTTATATATGCTTAGGCTGGTAGTGAAGAACTGTCAGGTTCATCTTATTTTAAAAATGGAGCTATAATGTTTGCTAACTAGGTCTTGATATAAAGACAAAAGGTTTTTCGCAATCGACTGTTCATCTCAAACTAAATAAATCTTCAAGGAAGAAGCAAAATATTGCTTTGCTCTTAAATTCTAGCGCCGCTCCCTGCTCCTCCCAGTACTTGCTGTAGATTTATATAAACCACTGTTCAGAGATTCAGCTACCTGCTGGCATTAATACACCTCATCATTCCTACCTGCTGATCAACTCCTGCTGGTTAGTAGAGTGCAAGAGTGATTGTCCATGCACGGAGGAGATTTAATCCCATCCCTGCTAGAGCCTAGGATTCTTATCACACAGACATAAATGTAGGATAATCTGATGTTTCTTAAAGAAAACTGATCCCAAAAGGGCAGTAGTTCTCTGGGTAAATACTTGATCAAATGAAAAACTTACCAAGTGCCTTTTTTCCCTTGCCAACCAGGTTACGCATTGTGAATATGAAGCCTTTTGGCATTTTGTTTGTGTACGCTGACAAAAACAAGGGAGCTAATATTATTTACACAAGATGTAGCTTTACAAAACCAAATGAAATGTTTTAGTAATAAGATTGAATAATGGGATACATACATCTGCATTTATGAAGCTAATGCTTGCAAAACTTAAGAGCCTTTTACCAGAAATGTTGTTTAGAAAGCAGTTTTCTGCTCTCATGATATTCACAGGAGTCATTAGTTGGACCTTACATCAGTTAACACCAAACATGGGTCATCTTAAGCCTTCTCTGTTCTCCCTCTTTTAATCATGTGGATATTTGTTGTCTCATAAATTTCAGTTTAAGTAATTTTCCTAAGACATTTTCCTGCAGGTTCTGGAGGAAAGCAGATGCTCTTAATCCAGTATTGGTGCGGAGTGTCTGATTGTATATAGAGTAAGAATCAATGAATTAAGTGACAGATAAAATATAATTCTCTTAAACTGTTCATGGCAAGTTGTATGATGGTATTCCTCTTGAAATAGACTGCCCACTGAGTGAGTTTGTTATAAAACTGTAGCAGTCTGATCTTGCTTTTTTTTCCCCTTTTAAACTGGGGGGAAAGAATTGTTTAAGGTACTATAAGGATTATAGTATAGGATAAACTGTTTTCAGCTTATTTGAAGGACATTCTCTACTCTGTATTTATTTTGAAAACTGATGATAAAATGCAGAATTTGAGGGCATATACTTATTGGGTTTCATTGGCCATCCAATTGCATGTGATGAATCCTTTCATTTAAGATTTAATAAAAAGCTTGCATAACTAATTTGTCTGCAGCTAGCTACTATGGAATAGGATTGGATTGTTTCCTTTGAGCGTTTTATCTACACAGATTCTGCTTTTGGTACAGGTAAGACCCATGTGTATGAAATTAGATTCTTTTGATTGCTGGTGTGTATTGGGACTGTGCTCATGCTCCAGGTGTTCTCTTTCCCCCAGTAAATCAGGGCAGGGTTAGCCACAGGTTGAATTTGGTTCCTTCTGATGGCCATAGTCAGTCAGAGGAACCTCTTAGTGACTGTATTTCTTCTTAAGTCATAGCTGACTGAATTCTACTTTAGTTTTTATGGGGTTGGTTTCGTTTTGCTTTGTTTTTTGTTTTTGTTAGTTTTGACATGAATGCTGTAAGTCTGGCCTGTACCACAAGGTGGTGAATATAGCCTTTTTGGAAGCCAGTTACTGGAATAACTTTCTTGCCTTGCTTGAAGTTTCTGCCCACTGTGACTTCAGATTTCTGCATCAGTTTACTTACCTTCAAATTCTGTAGACTAGATCCCACCACTTGCAAAAGGTGACTGTACTTTTTGGATGTCCTGAGAACACTGTCATTTTATTTGGATAGGACAAGGCCATTCAAGATGGTCCAGTCCTTAAATGAGATCAGGTGATGGATGAAGAACAACCAATTTAGGCTGAATCCAAGCAAAAAAAAAAATGGCCAGAAGAGGCTCTTATGATGATCTATCTTGATTTCCCACATAATATTGGCTGTAAGACTTCACTGAATTAAGTCTTTGAATTACAGCATGCAACACAGCTTAAAGGGAATGCTGGTTACTTTAAAAAAAAAGTTTTTTGCTGTATCTTAGCCTGTTAGAACCTTAATAAGTACTAATGTGTCATTTATTAAGATAAGTCTGAACATTACCTACTAAGTCCTG